AACAGTTCCCTACACTTCCTCCGGTGAGTGAAGTCACAGGTGGATCTGGGGAACCGGGTGTGGGGCTTGGGATTTGGGTCGGAGTGATCCACGCAGGTTTCAGGGGTCTGAAGGTAAAGAAGTAAAAGGGTCAATGTAGCAATGGTTATGGCGGCAAATGACAGCTTGTTGAGGAAGATCTGTATGTGCCTCTCCATTGATTGATGATTTGATGATCTCAAGAATAGGAGGAAGAAATGAATTGGGAAGCTGGATACGGTGTCGTATTGCCATGCGAACATAAGGGTAAGGAAAGGGAACGAACAGTAGAGAAACCAGCTGAATCCATTAAGAATTTTTGGAAAAATATTGTTTTAAATAGTGCATTTTTGGAAAGTATGTGATGATATAAAATTGATTGTAAATTGATATTTTTTGTATTTAGATCTAAATTTCAGTAGATCTCAAATTTTGCTCGAATAAAAGAATGTAAATCTACTTTTTGCCTTTTATGTTTTACATTTTCTATTGAAAAATTTAATTTAATTTTATATCATGATTGAAAATGCTCTAAAATATTAACAATTTACAATTTACTATAGACTTTATTTTTAAAAGTAATGTTATTCATCCTCACTATAATTAGTTTCAATCTATGTGGCAATTAAATGATATTAAATGATTGATTCATTTAAATACAAAGTCATATGATTCATTTAATTGAGTCGATCATTTAATGTCATGTAATTGCCTATAGACTGAAGCTCATCTCCAGTTAGGCTGAATAACATTATTCTATTTTTAAATATCATTTTAGCACTCAAAATTGTTGTGAGTTGACTTTTCTTTGCAACACAACTAATATTTGGAGATTTTTCAATTTAGCCTAATTGACTAAGTCTTATGTATTTTTTACAGTGTTCTAAAAAGCGGCATAACGCGCCGCCTAAGCGTGCATATGCGCGAAGTGTAATCGAAACGCTTCGCATACCCCGTATGCGTGTAAAAACGCGGTCAACACAAGCGTTGACTGCAATAATGCGCGCAAAAGCGCAATAATGTGCCCATTTTGCATTTTAAAATATTTTTTTTTAATTTTTATTATTATTTTTAAACAATTCTTCGATTTAAACATTTAATTATAAATTTCACAACTTCCAACCCAATCAACAAGGCCAGGAAGCATGTGAATCCTTTCTTGGCCCATTTATTTATAGGCAAAATTTCTTGTGCTTCATCTGTAGGATTCCGATGTGGGATTGGTTGTGTTACTGACTACTGTGCAAGCAAGTTGCAAGCATTACACTAGCATAATCGTCTCTCCTCTCTAAGCTAGAAGAATGGATAACCTTATCTCTCTCTCTCTCTCTCTTAGTAGAGGTTGGTTTTCCCCCCTATTTAGAGGTTGGAGAACCTTCTCGCCTCTCTCTCTACTCTCCAGGCACTGGAATTCCAGTTCACCTTACTGGTTTTCGATTCAATTTTTCTAGTTCTATTTCAACTGATTCTTGCCAGCCCACACCTCTTCATAATCTCTTCAACTGATTCTCGTTTGATTTAGAGCTTGCTGCTGCGGAAATTCCGTTAATGCCTTGTTCTATGTCATTGCAGAACTTTGGGGAAGTATGGTGATCTCTGTGCTGTTTTGGGGATTTGCTAATCAGGTAATTGGCTCACCCCATATTACATATATATGTTTTCAATACTTATTTTCTGTGGCCATACTGTTAAATACTTCTCTCAATTGAGACAAAATCTGGGTCTTGGTGTTGATGGTTGGGCTCTCTCCCTGAAAGCAATGATGAGTATCGTGGTGGTGATGGGTCTAGCTATCTGTTCTCTTTATTGGACTGTAAATAAATCTTTCTAATATATTCGTCTAAAATTAATGCTTATCTTTGGTCCAGGAACTGAAAAAACTTGCTGATGAATTGCGGTCTAATGTTATATTCAATGTTTCAAAGACTGGGGGTCATCTTGGTTCCAGCCTTGGTGTTATTGAGCTCACTGTGGCTCTTCATTATGTATTCAATGCTCCTCGAGATGGAATACTTTGGGATGTTTAGCTAGCTTTACACTTATTTAATGGCCACAACAGAATTGCATTAACAAAACTGAAGTGTCTGAAATTCACCTCAGACTTGTTTTTTCAACAACTTGAAGTTTTTGCATACTGATATATCATTGCGCTGCT